ATGGGAACTGCGGAGTGGGCACTCCAAATGGGGGCAGTGCACAGAGCCCCTCTGGCTGCGCCTCCACCTAGGGGCCACAGGGACATGCCGGCCACTTCCAGGAGCCTTGTAGGGGGCCTGACAGCCTCCCCTTCCGAGCACTAGCATACAGTACAGGCTGTGTACTGCCACCCAGCACCTCACCCCCCAGAAGCAGCAGCACCCCTGGCCACACACACACATCCCCCCGAGCACCCGCAGCACCCCCGGGCTGCCCCCCTGAGCACCTGCAGTGCACCTGGTGTGCCCCCTCCCCCACAGAGCACCAAAGGTTTAGACAGAGGTATACAGTACACATCATGGACAGGTCACGGGCCATGAATTTTTGTTTACTGCCTGTGACCTGTCCATGACTTTTACTAAAAATACCCGTGACTAAAACATAGCCTTAATGATGACCTTCTACTAACGTACAAGGAAAAACTGTCCTTACTGACACTGCTAGAACTATCAGCACCTTTTGATACTATTGACCATGATGCTTCATAACATGACTATGGGACTTGGGAATAGGTGGCTGGAATAACTTTCAGCTGGCTTGTTTCTTCCCAGATGACAGTGTTGGTCACTTACTCAGCTTCCCCAACAGGTCACAGATACAGAATTCCATCTTATTGCTCTTGGTGTTCTATGTGAATATAAAGCAATCAGGAGAGACTGTGCGGTATTTTGAACTCAATGTTTATTAATATCCTTATGATACTAAGCTTGATAAGCTAGATTCTGTCCCCTACTGTGGACACTTTACACTACTCTAATGGCATAAAGGGGCCATTAAAGGAGGGTTTACATGGGTCATTCCCCCAGTGTATGGGTGAAATCTATGGATTGCACAGAGCTGGTGTAGCAGCCGAAAAGGTGACCACAGGAAAGGAAGCATAGCCAGAGTGCTAGTGGATTCCAATAATCCCTGGCTCCTGGACTTCTCCTTTTGGGGGTTTGGTAGCCAGGGGCAATTTACAGCAGCCCTGAGGCTGCTCTATGTTGCACTGTGGTCATATTCAGCCCATGGCCTGTCCCTGGATTTTGAAGGGGAGAGGGACTACAGGTGGTAAAAAGCTACTTCTGTCCATCTCCAGTCCTGCACCAAATACAGTTCAGCCAAGCCAGAGGATCTGAATCTTAGTCCTTATAATCCTACAGCGGTCAAGAATTTTCTATATTACCATCATTTTTAGTGAAAGTAGGAATTAAGATGTGATTGCACCTGTTGCAAGGTAGTAGTAAAAAGCCATTTCCCTGAATTATTGCTGTAGGAATGTACTAGAAGAGAACAATATTGTTATGATTCATTGATGAAATAATGCTGTGAGAAGCTAGAAAAAATATTTCAGTAAATCATAGGGAAGTATTTACAGAAATTTGTAAAACTAGCTAAACTTTCAAACCATTTATCAGAGTGTTTACTGTTGCTATTTCAAGGAAAATGAAGCAATAGTAAAGGACAAAGGTTTCTAATATTGTATGAAAAAATAAGGAGAGTCAATTTGTAATTCTGCCATTTTTTTCAGTTTCAAAAGTAAAATAATCTATAAAATTCTTGGTTTTGTACTTTCAGAAAATTTTCAACAGTTGCAAACATGTGCACCTGGAATTAATTGGACAATTTTTCCCTCTGAGAAACAATGAAGTTGAGCATTCTTAAAATACTAAAGCAATCTCATCGGGGTTTTTGTTTGTGGGTTTTGTTTTTTTTCCATGAATAACTTGAGTTGAGAAGTTCATAGACTACATGCCCACACGTGAAAGATTACAATAAGCACATTTAACAGGATGGATGGAAACAGGATGTTACTTTTGCTCTCACTGAAATCAGTAAGTTTTTGAGTGGTAACACATGTACGCACGATAAATAGGAGAAGCGGATGCCTGACGTATCTAGGGAAACTGAGCCCCAAATATACATCATTGAGACCATATACATATATGTATGTTTCCATGCAATTACCCTGTGTGGATTTTTTTGGATGAGAACTTAAAAACTAAGGCCCTGTCTGTGGACATAATGACCCCAATACTCTCATCTGGCCATGCTGCTGTCAGTGCAAGACTGGGGAGAAGAATCAGAAGTGGCTAAAACCACTTTTGCGCTTCTCCAATTCTGGGACTGCCTGGGACCAGTCTATTATCCCATGTAAATTATAATAGCATAAATGCTGCTGCTGTTACTTATCCGTTGTGCCTAGGGCCTCCAGGTCATTTGGGCAGCCAGGGTCTTGCCCCTTGTCTCCTGGACATGCAGTGGAATGGGATAGCATAGGAGTCACTATGGTAGCTCTATACCACCTGAGGCTTCCCCTGTGGAAATGTTCAGGCACAGGACCTGCCAAAGCAGGATCAAGCATCTGCCTCTATTGCCCAGGATCCTAAGAGTCAGGGTTTGTTTGATGTCATAAGTCAAAATTGCACCTGTTCTAGGATTGTTCACCTTCTAGGATCCTGTGTCCCAGCAGTCCAAGTGGATGTGCCCTCCAGCATAGAAGTGGCTGCAATTCAATTCAATATACTTTATATGTATGAGAAATTACAGTGCAGAGAAGTTGGCAGTGTAAAATGTAGGGTTGGTTGAAAAATGGTAAGTAACTTGCATGAAAAATTTCAAAAAAAATACAAAATGTTTGGTTTTTCCAATTAAACAATTTTTCAGATCTTTTCTTCCTTCCTCTCTCTTTTTCCCCACTGGAAAAAGGAAGGGGACAAAGAAACAAAGAAAGTTTTTCAGTTGTCAAATATTTGGATTTTGACTACAATGAAATTTTTTTGTTAAAGGATAATTTTTTTGCCCCCAAAATAAATTTTCAACTGATCTTAATAAAAAGGAAACATATTGGGTCTGCAAAGAATGGGGCTTCACAGTCTGTTTGCGGCATTATCATATATCTTTTAGTCCCTATTGCTATTTTTTATTTCATAGGTTATTATAGTGAAACGTTCTCTCTTTCTCCTTTTGCAGCTTTTCCTCATCTCATTTAAATTGAGAGGGTTTTTTTCCATTTCTGATCATTTGCAGAAATAAATGTCTCATGCTCTCTTTATTTTATACAGAGAAAGTATCTGTTTCCATAGCTGACAGGAGATGCTCATAATACAAATTAAACAGGCTTAGCAGAATTTGATTTTTTTATAACTTTCAGGGATAATAGTGATGGGTTTTAAAGCTCTTTTTAGATTTTTATCCATTAAATTTTTCACAGTGCAAAATTATGGGGGAGTGTCAGACAATAAATTAGTGTGACTCAAAAAGTTAAAGCTTTATAACCAAATGCAAATTGTCAACATCCTATGTCACAAGATAAATATCTTTAAATTAAACTTTGAGTTCTCAAGAAGCACTTTTATTGTGCCTGTCTGTAAATTTTGATTATCATCTATGGAAATTGTTTTTGTCAGTTTGCGTGCGTAGGGTGAAAGCGACACTTACTGACAAAAATCTAACCTGCCAACCCTGAAAATTAAGCAATGCCACTTAGGCCACACACACTTTTTAGTTTCACTACACAAGGTCTTTTTTTTTTTTTTTTTGGCTCTGTGCCTCTAAATTTATTTATGAATTTCAGCAAAATGCATTGACAGTAGGTAAAGAAAGGGTCCTTGTTCTGTTTATTGAGTGTGTGCGCGTGACTGAATGCACCCCTGTATTCACATTCTACACAGTATTCTAGTAAGTTTTGTACAAAATCTGCTTTGTGAAGTATCATTTGAAAACTAGTAATTCTGTGTTCGATAATATCATGGTGAAATGTTTGTAGCAACATTATATGTAAAAGTATAAACATAAGCTAAAGTTAGGTCTGAAACGTGTTTACCAGACAAGTCTGAATAAACCAGTTTCTGAAAGACAAAGGACAAGCTGATTCCTCTGGCTAGCAGTCATCAAAGTTAGGTGGACAATCATCTGTCAGATGGCCAGTCTTTGGCAAGGAAGCGGGGCAAGAACAAACATCAGTATTTTAGCAAGAAACATGGAAACTCTTCCAGCAAGAGACTCCTTGTTTCCTCCTCAGGAAAATGTATTTGAAAGGAAGACTAGATTATAAAGCGATGGGCAAAAACACCCCAAGGTATCTCCCCCTAAGAAAACAAAGGAAGCAGCTACTTGACTTTGGGAGAGATACTGACCTGCAATTTGGACAGCCCTATTGCTGGGAGGGTGTGGTAGGAATATTATCTTGAACCAAGTTTAGTTTAAATGATAAGACTAGAAAGTGTTTGATCTTAAGCCTTGTACTGACTTAAAATATCTCTTTGTAGTTAAATAAACTTATTTTAGTCTTTAATCAAGCTAAGCCATTCAACTTTGGGTAACTTCAATTAAAGCAGCGAACAGCTCGATATGGACCTAAACTACACGAACGGCCCAGGAGAGGGCTGCACACTGCAGAACACACCGTTTGGGGGGAAATTTAGGACTGAGAGTGTGTTAGGAGCACCCTGCACCTGGTAACCAGGAACGGTGGAAGCCAACCTCTGGCTGCAGCTATCTGCAGACACTCAGGACATGCTCTTTGGGAGCGGCCCAGCCCAGGGTAGGTGCTCCAGCGTGAGGAACCCGCCTTTGCAGGGAAGAAGGTGGTGACATAACCCCTCGCTGGCCCCACTTGCACAAGGGGATGTCCTAGTGCGTGTACATGACTAACAAGAGCGACTTCCCAGGGTCCCCAAAGGGCTTCAGTAGCTGGGCCCCAGCGTGCCTGCCACAGGGCAGAAGGTGTTAGCGACGCCCAACCCCAGGTGCGGTGCCTGCCTGGCTGCTGGGCAAGTGCCCAGGGAAGGAAGCGCCGCTTGGCCCCAACCGAGCCCCGGGGGAGGGGTCGAGTAATAACATCAGCCCAGGGACAACTGTCCCCAGCCAGCAGTAGCAGCCACGAGCGCCGGGCCCCGCCCCTGGTCCATGCCCCGGAGGAGCTGCAGGGCCCAGCGGCCAGGGCGGGGTCGCGCTGCGGGAGGCAGGCGGCGGCGGCGGCGCAGCTCGGGGCGGGGAAGGAAGGGACGGCCCGCTGCTGGCGGCTGGAGTGAAGCGGCGCTGGGCTGGGCGGGGGCGTCCTCTCGCCGTCCGCGGGGGTGTCGGGCCCCGCTCAGCGGCGCTGCTGGCGCCGGCGGCAGCAGCAGCGGAGGCTCCTCTCCCCTTCGCCGCCGCGGGAGACCCAGTGCTGCCCCGCTGCGCCCGCCCGCTCCATCGCACGCTGTTGTCATGGAGGAGCCAAGATGGCGGCCCTGGCCTACACCGTGGGCAAGCGGGAGATCAACCACTACTTCAGCGTGAGGAGCGCCAAGGCGCTGGCGCTGGGCGCCGTCCTGCTGCTCGCCGCCTGCCACGCCGCCTTCCGCCACTACCGAGGTGAGGGGAGGGTACGGCGCTGGCAGCCCCGCGGAGGGGGAGCCCCGGGACATTGGGGAGCCGGGCGGAGGTCCGCGGGGGGAGCCGGGACCCGCCGCAGCCGCGGGGGAGGCATCCTGTGGGTCGCGCTTCCCCCGCGTCTCCTGCCTTGCAGGGGCTCCTGGGTGCTGTCCCCGGCGAAAGGCGCTGCGGCTCCCGGCACCAGCCGCGGGACGGACCCGAGCTCCCGCCGCGCAGAACAGGCGCTCCGGGGCCCGGACAGGGCGGCTGGGTACCCCACGGCTGGTGCCCGCAAGCTGGTGTCGCACGGAGGGGCCGGCACCGCTTTGAGGGATGGGGATGGGGATGGGGACGGGGACGGCTCCTAAACTTCGCCATAGTTGAGCATCATCTTCCTACCCTCCCCGCGGTTACTTGTTACCGGAGCCGAGCTGTTCGCACGGACTGTTGGGGACACCTGCTAGGGCAGCGCAGGACGGGGACACCTTTTGCCCGGGGAAGGGCTGGCAGGAGGGAATTGAAATTGGCTGGTGTGTTTAGTCAGGTCCCTGCCCTGAGGACCTGGCAGTCTAGGACGCTCCAGTGCAAACAGTTAAGAGGCGGGGGAGTGCAAATAGACAGCCCTAGCTGAGCCGGCACGGGAAGGCTTGGGGAGGAGAGGAACGAGTTTTGGAGAACAGGGAATGAATCCGAGCTCCCATGGATGCTATTTAAAATGGTGGATGGCACCAGCGTGTTAAATACCAGCCCCTGGCTTTGTTCAGATTGAATTAGACAGTCAACAGAAACGTGCCTTGGTCTCAACCACCTTGCAGATTTTCCCTCCTCCCCCCATAACATTACAAAACCTGCTATGGATTTACAATTGTGTGTGGTGGTGTTCACCTCTAGGCCACTGGTTGGGACCGAAAGTCAACAGCTTTGTGTAAGCACGCAAGTTGTACTGGTTTAACTATACTGGTATAGTTTAAGTGGTACAGTCCCCCTTCCAGTGAATGCCGTCGTACATGGGTGAAAATACAGTACTTATACCAATATTGTTTGTTCCCATACTCAAAGGGGAATAGCCTGTACTGTATAACTACTTTCAGACCTGTATATGGGCATCCACAATGTCAGTATAACTATTTTGGCTTGGAAGAAAATCAGGTCCTTGACTGAAATAGTAGTAATGGTGTAAAATCTTAATTGTTTGATATATGCCCTTGTTCCATGTAAACAATTGACTTAAACCCCAAAATCACTGTCACAAATGCCCTGTTTGATGAAAGCAAATAAGGTAGTAGTGTCAGTGTGTCTCCGTGGGTCACAACTGAGAGTACCAAATTCAGGACAAGCTGCTGGAAAAAGAGCAGATGCCCCAAAACCGGTGGTTATTCTTCCATGAGATATACCAATCCAGCAACAAAAGTAAACTTCTGTCTCACCACACTGGCTAACAAGAAGCCAGAAATGCAGCCTCCTTAGGTATTCCAGTCATGGGTTCAACACCAAGACTTAATGATGAGTGGTTCTTTAAAACCAATTTCATCAAACAAAAGGGTTCTTCTGATCCCAAAGGAGCAGCAACATACCCAGGTCAATATATAACTCAGATCTTTCTCAGTAATCATGCTTTTGCCAACCCTTTAGTATCTAATATCTAAAGGTTTATTTATAAGAAAGGTGAGACTGAAAATTGGTTAAAGGAATCAAATACATACAATAAATACAAAGTTCTTGGATCAGGCTTATAGCAGTGATGAAAAAAACTGCTGGCTTGTCTCTGGTTGCTTCCAAATCACTGGAAGGTCCTCAGTCCCTTGGTTAGTACATTAGTACAAGTCCATAGTCCAGAGGTTTGGGGAGGACAAAATGGAGATGTTTCCAGGGCCTTTTATAGCTTCTGCCAAGTGAAGGGAAACCCATTGTTCTACTTTGTGGAAAATTACAGGTAATAAGATGGTATTTGGACTCACATGGGCAAGTCACATGTCTATGCATGCTTTGCTTAGTCAAGGCCATTACTCATACTTTACTCAGAACATTCACTTGAAAGTCCATCAGGTGTGGATGGACGTCTTCCATGGTGCATTGTAAGTTAAGTGTTTCTTGATGGGTCATTTAACTTGAATAGTCCCTTCAAGATGTGCAGGCTAAATACCTTGTTGGTGTTACCACAGGGACAAACATTTGAAATACAGGTACATAGTTAATATTCATAACTTCAGATACAAAAATAATACATGCATACAAATAGTATAATCATATTCAGCAAATCATAACCTTTCCATAGATACCTTACTTGACACACTTTGTACAAGATTTGTTGCACTTATATAACAGTGGTAGCAACAGGTTTCAGAGTAACAGCCGTGTTAGTCTGTATTCGCAAAAAGAAAAGGAGTACTTGTGGCACCTTAGAGACTAACCAATTTATTTGAGCATGAGCTTTCGTGAGCTACAGCTCACTTCATCGGATGCATACCGTGGAAACTGCAGCAGACTTTATATATACACAGAGAATATGAAACAATACCTCCTCCCACCCCACTGTCCTGCTGGTAATAGCTTATCTAAAGTGATCATCAGGTTGGGCCATTTCCAGCACAAATCCAGGTTTTCTCACCCTCCACCCCCCCACAAATTCACTCTCCTGCTGGTGATAGCCCATCCAAAGTGACAACTCTTTACACAATGTGCATGATAATCAAGTTGGGCCATTTCCTGCACAAATCCAGGTTCTCTCACCCCCCTCCCAAAAACCACACACACAAACTCACTATCCTGCTGGTAATAGCTCATCCAAAGTGACCATTCTCCCTACAATGTGCATGATAATCAAGGTGGGCCATTTCCAGCACAAATCCGGGTTTTCTCACATCCCCCCCCACCCCCATACACACACAAACTCACTCTCCTGCTGGTAATAGCTCATCCAAACTGACCACTCTCCAAGTTTAAATCCAAGTTAAACCAGAACATCGGGGGGGGGGGGTAGGAAAAAACAAGAGGAAATAGGCTACCTTGCATAATGACATAGCCACTCCCAGTCTCTATTTAAGCCTAAATTAATAGTATCCAATTTGCAAATGAATTCCAATTCAGCAGTTTCTCGCTGGAGTCTGGATTTGAAGTTTTTTTGTTTTAAGATAGCGACCTTCATGTCTGTGATTGCGTGACCAGAGAGATTGAAGTGTTCTCCGACTGGTTTATGAATGTTATAATTCTTGACATCTGATTTGTGTCCATTTATTCTTTTACGTAGAGACTGTCCAGTTTGACCAATGTACATGGCAGAGGGGCATTGCTGGCACATGATGGCATATATCACATTGGTGGATGTGCAGGTGAACGAGCCTCTGATAGTGTGGCTGATGTTATTAGGCCCTGTGATGGTGTCCCCTGAATAGATATGTGGGCACAATTGGCAACGGGCTTTGTTGCAAGGATAAGTTCCTGGGTTAGTGGTTCTGTTGTGTGGTATGTGGTTGTTGGTGAGTATTTGCTTCAGGTTGCGGGGCTGTCTGTAGGCAAGGACTGGCCTGTCTCCCAAGATTTGTGAGAGTGTTGGGTCATCCTTTAGGATAGGTTGTAGATCCTTAATAATGTGTTGGAGGGGTTTTAGTTGGGGGCTGAAGGTGACGGCTAGTGGCGTTCTGTTATTTTCTTTGTTAGGCCTGTCCTGTAGTAGGTAACTTCTGGGAACTCTTCTGGCTCTATCAATCTGTTTCTTTACTTCCGCAGGTGGGTATTGTAGTTGTAAGAAAGCTTGACAGAGGTCTTGTAGGTGTTTGTCTCTGTCTGAGGGGTTGGAGCAAATGCGGTTGTATCGCAGAGCTTGGCTGTAGACGATGGATCGTGTGGTGTGGTCAGGGTGAAAGCTGGAGGCATGCAGGTAGGAACAGCGGTCAGTAGGTTTCCGGTATAGGGTGGTGTTTATGTGACCATTGTTTATGAGCACTATAGTGTCCAGGAAGTGGATCTCTTATGTGGACTGGACCAGGCTGAGGTTGATGGTGGGATGGAAATTGTTGAAATCATGGTGGAATTCCTCAAGGGCTTCATTTCCATGGGTCCAGATGATGAAGATGTCATCAATATAGCGCAAGTAGAGTAGGGGCTTTAGGGGACGAGAGCTGAGGAAGCGTTGTTCTAAATCAGCCATAAAAATGTTGGCATACTGTGGGGCCATGCGGGTACCCATAGCAGTGCCGCTGATCTGAAGGTATACATTGTCCCCAAATGTAAAATAGTTATGGGTAAGGACAAAGTCACAAAGTTCAGCCACCAGGTTAGCCATGACATTGTCGGGGATAGTGTTCTTGACGGCTTGTAGTCCATCTTTGTGTGGAATGTTGGTGTAGAGGGCTTCTACATCCATAGTGGCCAGGATGGTGTTATCAGGAAGATCACCGATGGATTGTAGTTTCCTCAGAAAGTCAGTGGTGTCTCGAAGGTAGCTGGGAGTGCTGGTAGCGTAGGGCCTGAGGAGGGAGTCTACATAGCCAGACAATCCTGCTGTCAGGGTGCCAATGCCTGAGATGATGGGGCGCCAATGCTGTAGTTGTAGTTGGAGGGTGAGAAAACCTGGATTTGTGCTGGAAATGGCCCAACTTGATGATCACTTTAGATAAGCTATTACCAGCAGGACAGTGGGGTGGGAGGAGGTATTGTTTCATATTCTCTGTGTGTATATAAAGTCTGCTGCAGTTTCCACGGTATGCATCCGATGAAGTGAGCTGTAGCTCACGAAAGCTCATGCTCAAATAAATTGGTTAGTCTATAAGGTGCCACAAGTACTCCTTTTCTTTTTGCGAATACAGACTAACACGGCTGTTACTCTGAAGCCCATAGAATGGAACATACAGTAAGAAGATATGTATATACATACAGAGAACATGAAAAGGTGGAAGTAGCCATACCAACTGTAAGAGGCTAATTAAGCAAGATGAGCTATTATCAGCAGGAGAAAAAAACTTTTGTAGTGATAATCAAGATGGCCCATTTAGACAGCTGAC